ATATCTGGCACAATGAGGAACTGTATTTTGCCCCCCTGGATGTATACTTGCTCTAATTAGGCCCCACGCCCATCTGTAAGTGTGCTGTTGGACATCTGGCAGTTCACGTGAGCTTCCTCCATAGAGTTGGTCTGAGGGTCATGATATAACCCTGTACTTTGTCCAGAACTTGAATTGGCACTCCAATGGATGCGGCTGAAAATGTGGGCATTGGGACCGTGATGCTATTCCATGTGCTTTCTTGCTTCATATCCTTAGCTAACAGTGAAATAAACTGATACAAAATATTTTTTTAACGAGGAGTAAAAACAAGCATAGTCAGCAGTTAAAATAAAACATCAGATAAAATACCTCCCTAAAGAAGACCACCAGAGAAGGTACCAAACTCAATCTCCCAAGTCAAGGAGTTCCACTGTTTAAATGTGGCCACCACAATGGCCACACTTCAGAATAACTAATGGAATAAGACCTATGGCTGAATAATCGTATGTTGGCTAAAATTTGGGAGGGAAGGAGCTGCATTCCCTTGCCTTCTCTAAATGACATAATAACTCTAAGCCTTGATAGGGATGAAGAAGCACAATTAACATCTTGGTCTGGGGAAAAGATTGCAGCCTCCCCTGGACCTGTTAAAGTGGCTGAAGTTACAGCTGCCTACCACTGAGGATCCTGAGGAAGATGGTCACTTGTTCTGTAATGGATTGATTAATTGTTTGCCATCAGGGCAGTGTTAACTCTTAGGGACCACATAAGTAGACCTTATCTAGGATGATCCATTTCCAGACTGGCCCTTCAGATCTACTGAGGGTGCATTCATTTCCTCTGTAACTGAGTGCATCCACCTTGCTGCTGGTCAACCTCTTCTCCTCCTTCCTTACACCATTTCCAGGGCTACATTCGTTCCTTACAATCTAGTTAATAGCTGATCAGCTGCACATGGAAGATAAGTGTGCATAGCTCCTCAGCATTCTATGGACTGCACAGAGATCAGGCTGAATTCTAACCCAAAGGACATAGATTTCGCACATGTCTTGCATGGCAATGAAAACAGAGGAAGTTTCTGGCAACAGAGGGCTCACAGGTTATCTCTAACATCAGAAGTTTAAATGAAAATCAAATATAA